GTACATAAGGCATTGTGTTTGAATATGCTGTCAAGTGAATTTTAATATCTTTGAATATGACCAAGAGTATATTAGTTCAAACACATAAAATGATTAAGTTGTGGATACACTCTTGAAATTTCAAAACCAACAACACTTGGCCCTCCTCCCTTCCCCAAATATAATGAAAATCCTCTACAAATATCTACAGTTTCTTACTCCGTTATTAATATTTTATTTCTCATATAATAGCTGATATAATACAAACACACTCACACACGCGTCTTTATCTAATCAGATAATTTGATTTACTTCAAGTGAATTGTGTCAGCATTTTGTTTCTTAAAACTTCCATTTTCACCTCTGCCAAGTTTTAAAAGCATGTTATAGTGGGTATCTAACGATCCAAGCCCCTAGATATATGTTACAATACCAGGTGGATGCTTGAAGATCCTCTGAAATAGGAGAAATCTTTGAAGTGTGCAGTAATTGTGAGAAAATGTTATTGTACAACAGCTGAATATCTAAAGCATTCAACTACTTTTTAATCCACCTTACATTTGCTCAGGAGATCATATTTTGCTCTCAAAGGGCTTCTACCAGAAGTAAATAGTCATATAAATTAATGTTATAGGGGTATTTAAAATAATCTAATTTATGATAAAATGTCTACAGGAGCGGAATCAAGTAATTTGGATTGCGAAGTAGTGATTGGAATATAAAAGGGCTACAGGAAAATGTTAGATTGAGAATGCGTCTGTATACTGTGCTATGTATTTACGTAAATTTTATTTTGAAATCTTTTTTTTTGAACTACTGGTGTTTGTATCTTAGGTTGGCGCTTTAGTGTTTTGGTTCATTAGTATGCAGGAAATGGATTCATATATGAAGCATATTTATGGTGGTTTTCTCATCCAAATTATTTTGAAAGTTTATGCTAATAATTGCTTCCTAACTTACAATGTACAGCTGCAGCTGTCACTGCTAAGTCATGGGATAAATTGATATTGAGCAGTGATACTCCTGTTCTTGTTGAATTTCATGCCACTTGGTGTGGCCCCTGCCAGATGGTTCACCGGGTAATTGATGAGATTGCAGGTGAGTATTCAGGGAGACTAAAATGCTATGTACTGGACGCAGATCGTGAACCGAAAGTTGCTGAGAACTATGATATCAAGGCTGTCCCTGTGGTGTTACTGTTCAAGAATGGGGAGAAATTTGAGTCTGTTATCGGAACAATGCCCAAGGAGTTCTATGTGGCTGCCATTGAAAGACTTCTATCTTCATAATGAGAACGTCTTGGTAGCATATGCGCAAATTGGATAACTCTCTACTTCTATTTAAAAATTATCTTCCTCGCTGGTGCCTTGTAATTGCATTTTCCTTTTCTATGAATCATCGGCTCGTTTTCCTCAACATTGACTGCTCTCCGTGAAAGCACTTCCGGCTTCTTTCTTCACAATGAAATTTGTATAGGGTCGGTGAACTTGTGAATAGTGACTGTATTAGTTAACTAAAGATGTCCTGTTTCCTGGACGTGTTTTTGTTGCTGTGACTAGTGACTAGCCTTGAGCTTTCTTAAGATGCATATTAGTAGTAATATTTTGCACCAAGTACTTTGACACATGGTATCTAATAAGCCAACACGAGATGATAAGTTTAAGTGATTAACCTATGATAAAATTGACAATTTTGTCAAATTTCCATTATTTTTAGCATCATATAAAAGAGCGGCACTAAATTAAGGCGTTTTATTTCTTAACCATAACTTATAGATACTCTTACCTTATTTTGTTACTCCATCTGTTCCTAATTACTTGTCCACTTTTCCTTTTATAGTTGTTCCTAATTACTTATCCATTTTGACAAATCAAGAAAGGACAATTTTTTTTACCTATTATACCCTCAATTAAATGACTAACTACTTTGAAAAATGCAAAACGTTTCATCCACTTCATAATTAATAGGGATGAAATGGTAAATTTACTATGTCATTAATTGATTTCTTAATAGGTGTGCCAATTCAGAAGTATACAAATAATTAGGGACAGTGAGGGAGTACTTAACTGCGGTTAGCTGCGCTGAATGCTTATCCCTAAGTAGTGCAATTCATTGTGATTAAGCAATAAAATTTGTGTGATGATATAAGTTATTGTAATTAATTATGATTAAGCAATATCAATACCTATAAAGACTAAAATTATCTTTTTATGAATCGGTGTGTTTAGTACAAATTTTAAAGTAATAGAAATTGATCATAATCACAAATAAATTATAATGAAATAATGATTTTATTGATCAATATTTATGAGTATAATAACTTGATGGGTTTCCTACAATATATTTGATTGCAGAATAGGTTTGAGATAAATAATATTTGATGTTTTGATTTTTTGTTAATATTCAAGATTTATGGGATATTAGAGAACAAACATTTGAGATTTTGATCACTTTGTTAATATTTATGAGATCTCAAGTGCATCCTTTTTTATGGTATGAATTAGGGTTTAGGATAAAGTAGTCTTTACTTTATAGTTTGAAGAAGGATTGAACTTGTCAAGTAGAGTCGTATTTTAAAGCATAACACATACACACATCATTTAATTTAGACTCAACTGACATCTATATTCACCATCTTTGAAGATACATAAATAAATACTTAAATTTATACAACTAAAAATATGTATATTAGAATTTGACGTCGAGTTAAAAAATATATTTATATATTAATTGAATGTCGGTTTTGTATACTAATATAAACCGCGCAGTATAGCAGCGGCCCAAATTGCAATTCCGATGTCTCTAGTTCCAAGAAGCGAATGAAGAATTAACAAGTGTAGTGAAGAAGACTCAAAAACAGAGTCTTTGGGGGTTTCGTTCTGAAGCAGAATCAGCATCTCTACTTTGCAGCTCATCGATTCTTTCGTCTTCAGGTACTTTCTCCCCTCTCGTATACGTATTTGCTAATTCTATGTAGGGTTTCCGTATTTGAATTCCACATCACTTGGTTGGATCTCACTGGGTATGTAGCTGTTGTTTGCACAACTTTTTTTATTTCTTGAATAAGATGTTGACGTTATTTTCTTGGATACCCTTTAATTTACCCATGAGTTAATCCAAAGGCTTCCAGTTAAATTTAGGAAAATACTGTTTTTAATTGTCCAAATTGTTGGAATTTATGGGATTTACCTGAATTAGAGACGAATGGATACATGAGATTCATGTAGTTGATCGGAACTAGTTTGGGATTGGGGTTTAGTTTATTGTTGGAATTTCTATTTATTTATTTTTGTGTTTTGATCAGATCAGTTTTTGCTACAGGAAGTTTTTCTATTTTACTCTGGAAATTCTTCAGCTTTTTAGCCGGCTTTTACTTCGTATTTGATGTTTTGAGAATTCAAGATGTTTTTTTTTTTCCCTTGATGTGGGTTCTAAGTCCCATAATCCATTACAAAATATGCTTAAATAGTTATACTGAGAACTAAAGAGTCCATTGTTAATCTGTTCTAGCTTTTATATTGCTGAAAAACGTTATTGTTTTTCGTCCTGAGTAAATTATGGTGACTGCTTGTGAATTGATTATTCATGAGTCTGCTTCAGTATTAATGCAAGTGTTTGGAAATACTTCTATTTAGATGGAATTTTGTATCTAGTGATTCGTCTAGTTTGTTGCTAGTTGCTCATTTTGTTGGCCATATACAGGTAACCTGGGACTACACAATCGTTAGCTGAAACACTGATGGAACTTCCTCCTACTTCATCTTTTGGATTGTCATCAGAGTCCTCAGAACAAAGTGGGAAGCTGATGACAAACACAAATGCGAAAGCACTAGCAACTTTTTCCCTGCAAAGCCCAAATTCTTCACAGGGACCAGTGGCAATTCTTTGGGACATTGAGAACTGTCCTGTTCCAAGTGATGTACGGCCTGAGGATGTGGCTGGCAACATCAGAATGACTCTGCGGGTCCATCCTGTGATCAAAGGAGCAGTTACACTGTTTTCTGCCTATGGAGATTTTAATGCTTTCCCGAGACGATTAAGGGAGGGATGCCAGAGAACTGGTGTTAAACTTGTAGATGTCCCCAATGGCAGAAAGGATGCAGCTGACAAGGCCATCTTGGTTGACATGTTTCTTTTTGCTCTTGACAATCCTCCACCCTCGTCCATTATGCTAATTTCAGGAGATGTTGATTTTGCTCCTGCACTTCACATTCTTGGTCAACGTGGATACACTGTGATCCTTGTCATTCCTTCGGGGGTTGGTGTTTCGTCTGCTCTATGTAATGCAGGGAGGTTTGTATGGGACTGGCCAAGTGTCGTTCGAGGTGAAGGCTTTGTGCCTCCTGCGAAGGCCTTAATGCCTTGTCGTGGTGGTGTCTCAGACATTACTGGGATTCTAATGGGGTGTTGCCAGATTAATGACAACCCAGATGGTCAGCATGAAGATGAAGCAATACTGTATAGGGGCCTCTCACAGAGCTACTATAATGCAAGGGAATTCTCAATGATATCACATTCTCTGGCTGAATATAATACCACTGCAATTTCCATGCCATGTTATCCTACGGGTATGAGAACTCATAGTCTTCCTTCTGGTTTAAACGAAGTTTCAGCTGGAGGTCCATCTTCACATGACCAGAGTGACTTGACATGGGTGCAGCCTGGGGATATAAATGGTTTGAAGGGGCAGCTAGTGAAGTTGCTTGAATTATCTGGCGGCTGCTTGCCTCTTACACGTGTTCCTGCAGAATACCAGAAAATTTATGGGAGGCCTCTTTATGTTTCAGAATATGGTGCAGCTAAGCTCGTGAATCTTCTCAAGAAGATGAGTGATGCAATTTCTGTCGGGGGGAAAGGCCAAAAGAAGTTTGTCTACCTCCATAATTCATGTGCTGTACCAAGTGCTCCCCCCATAACTATATTAAAAAGAGATAACAAAGGAAAAGGAACACAAGAGGGAAATGCCGATATTGTGACTGGGGTTGGATCTTCAGATGAGTTCTCTGATGATGAAAGAGGACCCATAAAAGAGCATGGGGGAAGCTGTGAGAAATCTAATATGGTTGAAAAAAGCCTTGAAAATTTCAAGTATGAACTTCAAGAGATACTTGTTAGCTACTCTTGCCGGATTTTTCTTGGTTGTTTTGACGCAATATATCAACAAAGGTACAAGAGGCAATTAGACTACGAGAGCTTTGGAGTGGTTGAACTTGAGCAGCTACTAGCAAAGGTGAAAGATGTAGTGATTGTGCAAGAGGAGCCCGTTAGTAAGAGAAAGTTTCTGGCTGCTGTTGGTGCCTAGAAGTGTTTATCGTTTATTTCTTGACTATTTACTAGCTTAACTTCCTCGGGACTTATGCTGAGGTATTTGTTGTTGCTACTTTGTCCTTGTTATTTTTTTGTTTTTGTTTTCTCTTCAGTATGACAAAGAAAAGCTGAAGTCATGTTTGTCCATCATGACTTAGTTTGTTCTATAATGTCAGAAGTTCCTATGTAACACCTGAACAACAGGGGATCTCTGTGTATATTTTCTCCTGTTGCTTTCATCTAAATACATGCTAGAAGGTGTAAATTATTCAAGCTAGTTTGTGCAGGTGTTCTTTTTCCTCATCATGGTACATATCAATAATGGGCAAGATGCACTTTTTTATGGATTCTTATTTTTTGCCGTATATAACTTGGATCTGAATTCTGCTTCTAAATTCAGTGAGATGCCTATCTCTTCCCCATATTTACCCAAGTCTATGGAATTAGTCAAAGTTTTCCGTAAGTGTATTTGCTTTGGGAAAACACTCTATAGCTCATCTCATGGTTTTTCAAAACTCTTTGCTGCAAAGAGACTATTATCAAAGGTAAGCAATCTGGCTGTCCAGTTTTGTAACCTTTGGGTAAACTGAGTTGGCTTCAACTTAACTATGACTGGGCTTCTGTCCTCATTTTACTTCAAGAGCTTTTCTTAAATATATTATTTTTGTTGTTATATTTTTTAGACAGAAGAGAAGGATATCTTACCAGTTTGATTGAGTCAATTTGGTGGGAGTAGTGAAAGTCTACCCTTTTGTCAAGGCTCTTAAGCTTAGCCAGGGGAAAAGAAACTAGAACCGTATCTAGTTTGCTCCAAAGAGTTTTTGGTAATATTTTAAGTAACTTATCAGTCTATATGCCGAAACTAACTGAAGTTATTCTTTTTTTGCTAATATGGGGGTCTAGCTAGTTGCAGTAAGCTGCTCCTCTCAGGTATTTGCCATATGTTGAGAGTTCAAAATGGAGATACCAAATCAATTTGCAACATTTTCGAGGCATATTAATCCATATTTCCATTTTTGTTTGTTACATTTAATTGCTGAGCACTATGAAAGGACAATTTTGGATGTATTCACCTGTTAAGGAGAGAAGAAAGCTTCCATGACAGGAAGCATTGCATGCTGGCCGTGTGTCTGAATTACAGCTGCATGCCAAATTTATATGTCCCGGCATAACTTATTACTAATGTGAAATTCTTAGTGTCATTTTTAGTGCTTCTTTCTTAGTTACATCCGGGTTGCGTATCCTAATACTAATGTGAGGTTTTCTTTGCGTTACTTTTTAGTGCTGGCCGTGTGTCTGAATTACAGCTGCATGCCAAATTTATACGTCCCGGCATAACTTATTACTAATGTGAAATTCTTAGTGTCATTTTTTAGTGCTTCTTTCTTAGTTACATCCGGGTTGCGTATCCTAATACTAATGTGAGATTTTCTTTCCGTTACTTCTTAGTTCTGGCCGTGTGTCTGAATTACAGCTGCATGTCAAATTTATTAGTCCCGGCGTAACTTATTACTAATGTGAAATTCTTAGTGTCAGTTTTTAGTGCTTCTTTCTTAGTTACATCCGGGTTGCGTATCCTAATACTAATGTGAGATTTTCTTTGCGTTACTTTTTAGTGCTGCTTTCTTAGTTAGCATCTAACAATGTCATCTTATCTGTCATGGCACAGCTTAGGCCTTGTTGCATTGGAGGGATGTTGAAGTTAGAGAAGGCCCTGTCTCCTTGCAAAAGCTCCCACAATGGTGTCAATTATGGCAGTACAGTCTTGCAATAGTCGAATCATTTTTGTCACTACTTTCAATTTGTTTATGGTTTGTGTACCAATTTGAAGCGCTCCTGCAGAAGTCTGATGGCAAAGATAATAAACTTGTGATTGGATAATAAGGGATAAAGGATACAGGTCCCAAGTGATTGGTAGCCTTATTTTACTGTAAGTGCAAGTTGGGCAGCCATAAAGGATTGAATCTGGTCGTGTGAACATCTAAGTTGGTGGAGATATGCACAACAAGCATGGCTATGAAAAGACTTAGTTGGGTCTCAGCAGCAATAGCATATGGTCGTAGGGTCCATATGATCATGTCATATACAGTAACTTGAACAATCGGTCAAGGACTTGAGTCATATAAACATGCGCTTTGATGTTGCTCATTGAGGTGTAAAGTTTGTCATGAAACTTCAACTGTTTTCATCCTTTGGATTGTTCCATTCTCTGCAGAAAATGGTGGCAATAGTTTAATCACATACTTTGGATATTTAAGCTAGATGAGGGCTAGGAGCACTTGCTCCATGTAACAGATGCTTTTACCACATGCAGAAGCATCACAGAAGAGGGTTCTGAATTCCCAAAAGTTCTGTTTTTTCAAGGGATGTTGTCTAACAGCTTCTGTTGCTGTTTGTTAATGTTAAGCTTGGAGCTATTTGTTTGCTTCTGTGTGGAACATTTGTTCTGTAAGGCAGATTATGCTGTATAATTGACTGGAAGGATTGTTGTATCTTCCTTACAGATGTTCATTTGTCAGCAAATTGTCATATGGTCTGTATTTCTTGAATATTAATTAAACTGGTTTCTTGACCTTCTTCCTCCCTCCTCCCATTGCAAGTTTATTATGTATAAACTACGCAACACCCCTCCTTGTTCAGGCAAGGCTTGAGAAACTCTTTTCTAGACCCATTTTTGACTGTATGATACTAATGGCATTTTTGTTTGATTAAAACCTTTTGCCTATTTACCTGTCGGAATTGTAAGGTAATTTTAGTTAAGTTTTGAACTTCAATTTTCTTCTTGTCGACCGTGGAGTGACAATGATACAGCATAATAAATATCTCGTAGATGAAAGAGTTTTTGTTCTTAACTGATGTCAGTACTCAGTACACCAGCTAAAAGCTATTAGTATGAAGCCATCTTATGAATAGAAAAAAAGATGCAGGAAAGACATGAACGAATGAATCAAATTTGGCAACAAGTATCTGAGAAAGATACAGGAAAGGAAAACAAAAGAAGAAGTCAAAGTTCATCTTGAGAATGTGATATGCAGCAAGATTGACAAAATGTATCCAATCCATATCATCTCCAATGTAAATGTCACAGCTGTTGATAAAAGCTTTCTTTTTTTTCCAGATTAGCCGCGAAAGCAGCAAGTTCTTCTAATGTTGGAAACATACAGGTAAAGAGAGCACAAGTCAACAAATTCACAATCCAATAACTTACAAGAAATAACAGCCCTGGAAAGTACTAAAGAATGTTAAACACAACAAACCAAACCAAAGAGAACAGGAAAACTAAAGTTGTTAGTTACTACCTCTCCAAAAAAAATTCATGGAGGAAAAAGAATACAACTCTTATAGCCACAGGCTTCTTTGCAAGGAAAAAGTTGTTTGGTGGAAATGAAGCAAACTTCATGGACCTATGGATTACAGCCTCTGGATCGTGCACGCTACTTATCAATGTCAGGATGGTGAAGTCAATACCTTAAAACTCTGATATGTAATGGCTTTACAGTTAAAATCTGCGTAAGAGATAGTTAACAGTCAAAAGGGTGGAGGGGTGGGTCCATTACCCACCGAGTTTGAACCATGCATCAGCTGGCCCTCGGGGATTCCTCGGATATTAAAAAAAGAAAGTTACTTAACAGTCAAAGCAGTGGTCTCAAATAACTGGTACATTAGAGTGGAGACTGGGGAGGGCTGGTTTCAATTAGGAAGCTCCTGCTACAGTAGGACCTCGATGTACTTGACGACGAAGCTAGACACCTTCCATCACCGCTGTGAAATATTCCCTCACCTTTGTGCAGCCTAGACCTACTTGTTCTTCCCTTTCCTTCAATCTCATCGTAGTCTTCATCGTCCAAGGATTCAACAAAGCCACTGTGCATTGGGTCTGCACACTCATACAAAAGCCTAAGGACCTGCTTGATTGAAGGACGAGCCCGTCCTTCTTTCTGAGTACACCATCTAACAATTGCTAAAAGGGTCTGAAGTTGATCAAAGTCATAAGAATCTCCAATGTTAGGATCGACAAGCTCAGTTATCTTAGATTCTGATGTCATGAACATTTCGGCCCACTCTATCAAATTTTTGTTATCTTGAATTGCCCGTCTCCCTGTGATTAATTCCAGTAATACTACTCCATAACTATATACATCACTTTTCTCTGTAAGCTCTTGGGTGATGACATACTCGGGATCCATATAACCTAAATAACAAAGCAAAGATCCCTCTACATCATCAAGGTAATGAATGATGCTTGAATTTTACTCAAATAAGTAGACTTTTCCCCAACCTGGAGTTCCCTTGATCTCTGTGTTTACTGGTTCAAAGCAAATAGAACCATCCTTTGAAGCATGTGCAAGGCCAAAATCTGCAACCTATCATATTACAAGAGTTAAAAGAATAATCTGCTCTGCCAACAGATCTTATAAAGCAGTAGGGAATATTTTAGAGTTAATTTTTTACCAATTCAGTAGGCAAGAACAAAAGAAAGATTTGACGTTCATCCTTGTAGTAAAAGGAAACTAGGTTCACTCTTGAATTAATGTAAGTTACCTTCGCAACTAAGTTTTCATCCAATAATATATTGCTTGATTTGATGTCCCTATGGCACAGTGGAGGATCACAATAGAAATGAAGATATTCCTACATGGAGGTAACAAGAAATAAGCGCACTGAATGTTAAGCAGCTTATAAAATTATAACAATTGGACAGAGTAAAATAAAAATTGTACCAGAGCGTTTGCAACATCAATAGCTATTTGAATTCTAGTACGCCAGCTGAGGGGAGTTGTACCTGGATCTTCACATATATTTAGAGGAACAATCAAGCAAATCAACAACTACTTCAAGATGGAACAGTAGTAAAAGATGCACTATGTATTTGTCAACAACAAATAACAGACCAGTTACTGATGTTAAAGGCTAATTTTTTGTTAAAATTAAAATCAGCAAATAAGACTCGAAGATTAAGAGCATACTGTGAAGCTGATCCTTTAAGCTTCCACTTGGCATATACTCATACATGAGAAACCTGCTCCATGATAAATGTTCAGTATCGAAAAGAAGATATTAATACGTGAACTAGTTAATAGGTCACCTTACATTGAAAGCTGGACAAAGAGACGAGGTAGAAAAAATGAACAGAGAAATTTGCAAGTATGATTCCCAAACCTCTCATGCCTTTCAGTGCAAAAGCCCCTTAGAGCAACAAGATGACGATGATGCAGTCGAGCAAGCAGTTCTATTTCTCTGCAAAACTCATCCTCAGCCTGCTCAGAAACCTTGTTCATTCTTTTCACTGCTACCACGGAACCATCCTTAAATTCAGCTTTGTATACTGTGCCAAATCCTCCCTGTCCAATAGTTGTGCTGAAGTTGTTGGTTGCTTTCTTTGTCCCCTTATAGCTGTATTTCGTAAATATAGAAGCCGTACCTGTGTGCATTTTGCATAATAATAAGTAAACAGGATAAGAACCCTAGAGAATAAATGAACAGATCTTGCAATGTCGTCTTCGATTAGTACACAAATAGTCTAAAAGAACCATAAATTACCTTCCTGGAATCTTTTTGGTGGATGTGTGAAGGATTTGGAATATATCTTATCAGTTGCATCAGAATCTTCCAGCTCTTTGCTTTTCCTCCAAATCAGAACAATTAAGATAAACAGCATCAGGACAGCCATGACTGTAACTACTATGCCAATAACTGGTACTAATGTAAGATGGTAAGGATGGTGATTTTCCTTCACAGGTGTATTCAAGGAAAGTTGAGCGGGACTTGCAGCAACAGGAGGGTTTGGAGAGACCTCTGGTGAAAGTTGTGATGGAGATGGTCCTGAAAGTGGTTAGACGTACAATGGAAGTCAGAACTTTTCATATGGCTGAAAGTGCATTACATCACTAAAATGATCCATGGAAATATTTTTTATGTGCAGAAGTACAAAAACAAACACCAACTCCCTGCCTAAGAAATTAACATTAGTAAACATACCAGAGAAAGACACGGGACCAGAAAAAGGTGCAAAATGAGGGTCATAACAGCAGTTTGCTCCGAGTGTAAGGTGAGGCTAATATGACACAATGGAGGATGTTGCTGGAAAGAAGCTGAAAATGTTCGAGTCTAGGAATAGAAGATTTAAGGATTTTATGACTAATTCCGGGCAAGTTAATGATTAAGGTATAAAAGACACTGGAATACAGTTGTGTAGAGAAGAAATTACTTCAGGGCTTATGACAGAACAAAGAAAACAAATAGAAGTAGGTTTCTTTTTCTGCTTTCTCCTTTTTCTTTCTTTTGTTCTTTATCCTATATTTTGATAGTTATAGAATAGGCTCGGCACGGAATGGTTGTGCAATTTTATGTAGCTCACACTTAGACCTGAATGGCATACCTTATAAAGAATATGGAAAACTGAAAGCAACTCATCAGAATTTCAAGAAAAGGATTCAATGTTGGTAACAATATTCCAATGCATAAAACATTCGGTACAATTCCTGTAACTGTTCTATCTAAGCTTCCGTGATAATGAATCCCAGCACTACCCTATTAAGACGTACCTGGAGGTATAATAAGGCCTATAACCCCAAAGAAACAGCGAGCAAGATCAATAGCTGATGCATTGTCAACTTGGCTTGCAAGAGCAGCAAAAGTTGCATCTCTACAAGTACTAAATGTCATATTATTAGCTGTACCAACTAGATTGCGGAGATACAAGATGCCAGCATTGAGGCATTTTCTGCATTCACTTTCCCCCGAGAGAGGGACTTGGCAGGTTTTAGTAACACTTGAAAATTGTGGAGATTGAATCATCTGAGTTACAGTTGTTCGACCTTGGCAATCATAGTTGACAGGAATTTTTGTTCCAAACCCACAGAACACTGTTGCGTTTCTGTTGACTCCATGGAATTGGAAAATTTCTGCTATTTTGTCTAGGCAAATCTGTGATGTGTCAGCATTAACCCCCAGGTTGCTTGTTGCATTTGCATATCGAGCAACAGAAATTGCAACCAAGGCATTAATGTAGCGGCAACACTTTCCTCTTTCTTCTTTGTTGGAGCAGATTGAGGCAGTCAGAGTATAGTTGGATCCAGTCATGTCTAAGGGGCACACTGCATGTGTAGAAGGAAATATAGATAGTCATTGTTCATATCTCAATTCATTGAGAAATGTTTCTGCATTACTCCAGTTCTACTTCCTTTTACAGTACACTCCCTAAATGAACCCCACCACACCACACACACCGAGAAAAATATAAAAGGGAAGCAACCAACTTATAGATTACAACAGCAATGATATTAGCAGTAATATACAGATAAAAAGACTTTGAAAAACTACTTAGATGCAACATGTTAAAAGTACCTGTATTGTATAAGCTCAGTTTTGTGGAAAGCAAGAGGTCAAAGCTATTTACGTGTGGGTGTTTGGGGAGGGGTATCAACCTGAATATCTCCAATTATAAGAATTAACAGTGAATTATATGCACATTGATCTTATACACCTAGACTACAGATGAAAACTTGGACCATTAGACTTAAGACAGGACAAGTCGTAGTTTGATTGTACATTCCATCAATTGC